TTGTGGCTGCCAAAATGTATGAGTGACCTTTAGAAGATTTGTGTAGAGGTCCAACCACATCCAATCCCTATGCATCAAATGGCCATGAGGTGATAGTAGGGTGTAATGGTTCCGGTGGTTGATGTATAAAATTTGCATGGAATTGACATGCTTGGCATCTTTTTGCGTTCTCCATATAGTCTTTAACCGTGGTAGGCCAATAGTATCCCATTTTCTTTATACGGAAGTGGAGCTTAGGGGCGGACTGATGAGCTCTACATATTCCAGAATGCGCTTCTTCCATTGCATGGGTTGTTTTATCTTCTCCAAGACAACTGTAGTGACCTAGTTATTTTCCTTCCTTTCCTTTTTCCTCAAATTTTACGGATAATTTTTTTTTTTTGTTGTCTTTTCTTTTCTGTGTTCGGTTTCTCGTCTCTTGGTATCGTCTCTAGTGCTCAGGAATAGTTTCCGAGACTCTTTCTTTAGGATTGACAACTTCCTTTAAAGACCGAGTCATTTCTACATTTTCATTTTTTTGACACTATTCACTTTTCGTTTTTTTCCCGTATGTCACTTTGTTGGCACAACCTCACTTTTCGTGTTCGGATTTGTGTCCACTTTTGCATGCACTCATGGTATATGATTTCTTAGAAATTTGTATTTTTACTTTCTTAGAAATACATGCTTGTAGTGTACTTTCTTCTTTAGGGGTGTGGATGCACACTTCTTTGGAATTTTTCTTTCATTTGGGGTTATTTGTGTAATTACTATAAGTAATTATTTTTGTCTTAAGGACCACTTTGCAATTAAGTTTGCAAGATATTTAGAGAAGGGACCTACTTGCAATTATTTTTGGGCTATTTTGGGATTATGGTTTTAAAGAGGGATTTTTATGTAATTGACCAAAGTTGTGTGTGTTGACCATGGTGCTAGTTCACATAATGAGTGGATGATCTCTATATCCTCCACTCACATTTCATCTTTACCACTTTATCTTATCCCTCTCTTGAAAGAACCTTAACCTCCATGGATGAAGCTTAAAGCCTTTAGCTTTGACTTTGATTTTTGAGAGCCTTCCATTGATTTCCACGCTTAACCTTGGGAATACTTTTTGTTCCTCTCATCCTCCTCTACATAACCCTTGAAGGGTTTGCCATTTTGTGTTGATTTGCCTTGGATTCTAGAGAGACACTTCTCTAATGAGATAGAGGGTGTTTTACTTTATTATTTAAGGGTTTTACTTGCTTTTGTAGTGAAATATAAGTTGTATGCATATTTTATATTAATTTGAGGAATTAATAATTAATTGTAGTTTACATATAACTCACTTTAGACTTGGTATATGGCATGACCATGACTTGATCTTTGTTATATATTAAATTGGAATGATTTAAATGAGTTTTCAAATCTAGAGATTTAATGAATTTAATTTGATTTAAATTCTACTTAATTGTACCTTACTTGTATTCCATTTTAGACTTGATATATGGCATAGCCATGGCTTAGTCCTTGTTATATATTAATTTGGGATCATTTGAATAACTTTTGAAATCTAGAAATTTAATTAATTTAAGTTAATTAAAATCTACATAATGGTATCTTGCTCATTTTGTACTTTTGATTTGATATATGTAATGACTATGCTATGTTGTTTAATATATATTAATTTGGGGTTATTTGGAATTTATTTGTAATCTAGAGAATTAATTATTTTATTTAACTAAATTCTATCTAATTGCTCCATGAATTTAATTATGCTTTAGAAGTTGTTTCTATGTTTAAATCATGCACTTGGACTTGTTGTATGTTAACTTAGTTACGGTTTGATCATTGGATAACATAGTTGTTATATTTATATTCATGTGAACATGCTTTCTCTATTGAATATATTGTTGTCTTGTGTAATGAGTTGCACACTTTGTATTTAACATCTTTCATGCCATAGTAGTTGTGGACTTATTGTATGTGTTTTCAAATTTGGTTGTGCGTGGTAGATAGTTGATTATCTTGTATATACATGTTGATATATACGTTGTTGCACAACTTGTTGATTTTGAAAACTTGGGGATGTCATTGTTTGACTACGGCTAGGACTTGGTTACAGTACGGGGGATTGTCCCTCTATAATCTAGTGCGCACATAGGGAGGTTACCCGTGGGCTAGAACCCTAAAGTAACTATGTTGTCGGTCTGATCCGGCGTGATGTCCAAGTATCCACCTTGTTTAATTTCACATTTTATTCCAAGTTTATAACTAGATGATGTTGTAACTTGTTATTCCTTATTTGATTTCCCATTTTGAGTTTCAAGATGTTAACTTTAAGAAATCATGCTTTATGCGTTGTCTTGGAAGTTCTAATGTTGGGTAAATTGCATCGATATTATGATTGGTGTTTTAAATGTTCCAATGTAGCTTAAGAATGATCTTATAGATTCATTTGGAACATAGATGTTTGGTGGCATGACCCACTTTAGTTGTTTTCATATTTTGGATTTCAAGTTGATGACTAGATGATGTTGTAACTTGTTGTTCCTTATTTGATTTCCCATTTTAAGTTTCAAGATGTTAACTTTGAGAATTCATGTTTTATGCGTTGTATTGGAAATTCTAATGTTGGTTAAATTGCATCGATATTGTGATTTGTGTTTTGTTGTTCTAATATAGCATAGGACGATTCTTTAGACTCATTTGGAACATAGATGCTAGGTGGCATGAACCATCTTAGTTGATTCGTATTTCAGATTTCAAGTTAATAACTTTGAGAATTTATATCTTGTTGCCTTGTATAACATGTTTCTATGTTGTGGAATTGCATGAATGATGTGATTTATACTAGAAATGAGCTATGGTAGCTTAGGATGATCCCTAAGTCTTACTTTGACATAGATGTTAGGTGGCATGATCCTTTTGAATTGTTTTATGTTAATATAAAATTTTGTAAAAAGTTGAGTCTATGCATACTCATTCCCTACGAGTAACTTGTTTACTTACCCCAAAGTTATCGGGTGATTTTTCAGGTACGGATGCCTTGTTTGGGATGCACGATATCCCTAGATCGTTTCGTTGGATTGAAGTTCATTTAAATGCATTCTTGTTCACATGCAAGTGTTAACATGTTTGAGTTGTACTTTTAAAGTTGTAATGCATAGTTAGGACAAAAATATCATTTTTGCCTTGAACTTGTAATGTGTGCCTAAGCACATTTTTTGACACTCATTATATGTTTATGATATGTGGCCAAAGGCCAAACTTCTTTTGAAATCCTTGTATACCTATAAATGTTAAATTTTGCCTTTAATGTCAAAAGTATTGAAAACTAGGATTTCAATATGTCATTTTTGCACCGAAGTGTGCATTGTGTATGAAATTCATTCTTGGGCATTCATTTACTATGTGTGAGGTGTGGCCAAGGGCCTAACACCATTTCGTTTTCACTTTTGCATTTTAGTTTCACATATTGCATTTTTGGGCTAAAATAGTAAAATCCGAGTCTTTAAAGGTTCATTTTCAAATCGGGTGGTGCAAAGTATGTTCCGACACATCCACTAGGACTCATTTATCTTGCATGAAGTATGGCCAAGGGCCAAATGGTAATTTAAAACCATTTTATAATTTTAAGTTTCAAAATATCCTTTTTATGTGCATTTTCGCCTTTTTAGCCGTCGGGAGATCGGATTCTGCATCAGCGGGATCGGATTTTGCATCGGCGGTATTTTTAAGCCATGGATCATTGTAGCATGTCCCAATAGATAAGTTATGTCTGCGTGCATGATCGTATCCGGGAAAAACTCTTTCGTTGGCGAAATGAGCCTCCTATGGACTCATTTCACATTTTTCTTACATAAACCTAGTTTAGGGGCATTTTGAGATTTTTCTTTGAGAAATAAATTTCGGTCTTGACTTCACCACATAGAAAATGTGATTTCAGGGGGAGTTTCTTCACGGCATTTTTCTGAAAAATGTCGTCTTGGTGTCGAAAACCCCGCGTTGGTTCCATTTTCTGGTTTTTTTTTTTTTTTTTTTTTTTTTCTGCATTTTTATGTTTGGGTTCAATTCTGGTTGGGTTGAACCAGTTCAGGAAATGCTGAACTGGTTCAAGGGTCATTTTGGGTCCAACATGGACGTTCTATCCATGTTGAACTAGTTCAAGATTGTTGAACTGGTTCAAGTCTTCCAGAACCTTTTTGTAGGTTTAGCTTTGGTCTTCCAACTTCAAACTATCATAACTTTTTCGTTTCAACTCGAAATTGGTCCGTTCTTGAGTCTAAATTGACCATGTCAAAGTAAGCTTTTCAATGGTATAAATTTTAGTTTTAGATTCTTCTCCTAGATCAAGATATCCTTATTTTAGTGAGAGGGTGTCAGATTTGGTTCGAACCGGGATAGATTTCATTTGGGATTTCTCTTCCTTTGGCCTTGGGACTTCATGTGAAGTTACCAAAGGATGTTTTTGACCTCATTTGACTTGTTGGAAGTTAAATTCCTTCCTCCTATGGTCATTTTACCCTTGGTCCTTCTTTTGGTAGGGTTTTGACACATTTTTCTTTGTTTTGTTTCCGTTGAGCCTCAAAACTCCTCGAAAGGCCATTCTTGTGTCCTAGGGATAACGTACATCTCTATGGACTTATTTTCATTTTGCTTCCGCATTTTGGATCTGCTTCGGCTCATCACAGGACACACTGGGTTGAAAAATCCAGGGTCATCACAACAACGAAGGTAAAGACCTTCGAAAGAACTCCTATACAATGTGTCTTTATAATAAATGAATCGAGGTGCTCATCTACGTATCTCAGTCCTATGACGTAGGTTTTTAGGAAGCCTTCTATGCTCCAAATAGTCGATGAGAGGACATCTACAATCATCTTCAGCAGTCATGACAGAGATTGGATTACTCTCTTCAAATTTATCTTCGAGAACTTTTGTAATACCCATTGTTGGCATACTGGCAAATTAACTGCGTCTTCATCAACCAATGCCAATGTTGTAGCTAAATTGGCTAGAGCATTAGCCATATAATTTTACTTTCTAGGAATATGTTCTAGGACGGTGCTATCAAAATTTTTCAATAGGTGAAAAGCATAACAATGATATGGTATCAGGTTATCTTTCTTAACCTCATACTCTTTGAGAAGTTGATTGATCACCAGTTGAGAATCTCTATATATCTCTAGATCCATAATCTTCATCTCACTTACCATTTGAAGACCAATAATTAAGGCTTGATATTCCGCAACATTATTTGAGCATTTTTCAGTGAGTGTAAATGCATATGAAAGAATCTGCCTTTGTGGAAAGACGAACACTACGCTTACCCCAGCCCCATCAGACCGTGCTGATCCGTCAAAAAATATCATCCAAGGCAGTAGAATATCAATAAGGAAGACTTCTTCGTCAGGAAAATCTCCCGAAATTTCCCAATCGGCTGGGATAGGGTAGTCAGCCAAGAAATCCACCAAGACTTGCCCTTTCACTGCTTTTCGCGGGACATAGATAATCTCAAATTCATTGAGTAGGATAGACCACCTTGCCAAACGCCCAGAAAGAACAGGTCTAGACATTACATACTTAAGAGGGTCTGCCCTTGCAATATGATGCACTGTATGAGCCAAGAAGTAATGTCTTAATTTCTTGGTGGCAAAAACTAGTGCAAGACAAGTTTTCTCAATTGGAGGGTACTTTAACTCTATTGGTGTGAGCCTACGGCTCAAGTAATATAAAGGCATTTCCTTACATTCTTTATTATTTTGTGCAAGAAGAGCACTGAGGGATTCTTCTTGCGCAGCTATGTAAAGTATGAGTGGTTTTCCTGGTATTGGTGCTCCTAACACTGGTGGATTAAGAAGATACTTCTTGATACTATCAAAAGCGTTTCGATAGGCTTGATCCCACTCAAATGGGGCATCCTTCTTCATGAGTCGGCTAAAAGGTTGGCAACGTCCAGACAAATTTGAGATAAACCGATGAATGAAAGCAAGTTGGTCTTGCAGGCTTCGAAGCTCTCTTAAATTTTAGGCGGTGGCATCTTTTGTATTGCGTCAATTTTGGACGGATCTATCTCAATACCACGATGACGAACCACATATCCAAGGAACTTTCCTGAAGTGACACCAAATGCACACTTAAGAGGATTTATCTTAAGCTGATACTTTCTGAGGCGGTTAAAAATTCTACGAAGATCTTGTAAATGATTGTCTCTTTTCTTTGTTTTGACTACAATATCATCAACATAGCACTCAAAAATCTTATGGAACATGTCATCAAAGATCCTTTGCATGGTGCGCTGATATGTTGCCCCTGCATTTTTAAGTCTGAAGGGCATAACCTTGTAACAATAAATGCCATTTGGAGTACGAAATGCAGTTAACTCTTCATCCTTTGGAGTCATTCGTATCTGATTGTACCCCGAATAATAGTCCATAAAAGAGAGAGCTTCATGCCCCGTAGTTGTGTCTACTGTGAGTTCAGGAATAGGAAGAGGAAAATCATCTTTTGGACATACTTCATTCAAATCACGAAAATCTACGCATATCCGTATCTGTCCGTTCTTCTTTTTCACTAGGACAATACTTGAAATCCATGTCGGATACTTAACTTCTCTAATGAATCCCACATCAATCAATTTGTTGAGTTCTTCCTCTATTCGCGGAACAAGTTCTGGACGAAAGAAGCGTTGAGATTGTTTAATCAGACGGGTCCCATGTTTGACAGCAAGGTTATGAACTGCAACTTTAAGTTCAAGACCTGGCATTTCTTTGCAAGTCCAAGCAAAGACATTCATATACTTATACAACAATTGGAAGTAGTCATTTTCCTCCGATGAACTCAAGAATGCACTGACAAAAACTAGTTTTTGTAATACCCCTAATTTTAAAATGATAGTCTTGGTATTTATTTAATTTATTTAATTGCATTTTTAATTATTTAATTGATTATGTGGCTATTTTTTTATGTGTTTAATTGAATTAATTGTTTAAATTAAATTATGTACTTAAATGATTTAATTGTTTGATGGGTAATGTGGGTTTTGTTTGTGTGTATTTGTGTGATGTGATCTATGTGACTTAATTGTGTACTTGTTTGTAATTATGTGTTAGTTAAATGAATAATTATTTTATTTTACTTTTAATTTAAAAGGATGGATTTGGATAGTAGTAATGGACCAACTAAATAGGTCACATGGACTACTTGAATAGGAGCCTAAATGGGTAGGATTACGACCCATGGGCATTGGATATATATATATATATACACACTCAAATATATATATATATATGTGTGTGTGTGTGTGTGTGTGTGTGTGTGGATATTATTATTATTAGTATTATAAATATTATTATTAATAATAATGGTTGGAGTATTTATATATTTAGGTATATATAAATATACATGTATATACTGAATTATAATTATTATGGTATGTATTATTATTGATTAATATTATTAATAATACATGGAGGATTAAGTCATATATATATATATATATATATATATAAATGGTTGTAAAAATATATATATGGTACATATATATATTATTGTTATTAATATTATTATAGTTATTAATAATAAAGGAAGGATTAGTTTTACACATATATAGATATATATTTTACGGTGTATATGTATATAGTCAGATTATATTATCAATATAACTACTATATAAGTTATTTTATTTTCCTTTTCTATTTTCTCTTTGGCAGACTTGTTATTTAACTAGGATTAGTATTTTATTATATAGTCTATGTATATTATCTATGTTTACTTAAGAGGCTGGGACGTGAGTTTAAAGGGAGAGAGAGAAACCGAGAGTTTAAGAGAAGAAGAAGGAAGGCTGTGAATCACGGCCAAAGGAAGAAGAAGGCGGAGGGTTGCTGTGGGTGATGAACCAGAGCAGCAGAGTGGAGGACGACGGCATCCATGGCTGCCGGTGTCAAGGAGTTGGCTGAAAAAAGGAAGGAGTTGGGTTTTCGTTCTGAAATCCTTATAGGCAAGTTCTTTGTTCTACTCCTCTTCTTTGATCTGGGGTTAGATGCATGTTTAGGACAGCTTTAGGATAATTAAGCAAGATAATTAAATAAGTATACATGCTGAATTTGGATTAAAACAAAGGTTGTATGTAATTATATGTTTATGTTTTGATTTGTTGTTTTTGAATGTTTATATATAATTATTTGTTTTAATTGTTGGGGAATTGGGTATCTTTGTATTAAATAGCATTGATAATCATATTAGACTTCAATACAACAATTTAGGACCAAATAGAGGAGTTGCAGGTCTGAAACAGTAGTCATGATAAAGAAGACGACCTGTTTCGGTCGGCCGATGTGGGTGTTTCGGTCAACCGATGTGGGTGATTCGGCCAACCGATATAGGTGTTTCGGCCGACTGAATTAGGGAATCGGTCGACCGAAATAGCCTATTTAGGCAGCATCTTTTGTTGTCTGATTTTAATGGTTTTTGGAATTGTTTTAAATACTGTAAATGGTAATTGGTTTTTTGGTTAAGTAGTAAATTGGGTATTTGGGTAACGTTGTATTGTACGTGCTAAAGTTATATTGTACATTCTATTAATTTGGTTATACATATTTTATCCTAAAACAGTGATAATCAATAGGATAATATAACGTGGTTTTTGGAATTGTTTTAAACACTGTAAATGGTAATTGGTTTTTGGTTAAGTGGTGGTTAAGTAGTAAATTGGATATTTGGGTAACGTTGTATTGTACGTGGTAAAATTATATTGTACATTATATTAATTTGGTTATACATATTTTATCCTAAAATAGTTATAATCAATAGGATAATATAACATGTAACGTGTTATGTGGTTTATTAATATAACCACTTTTGGACACTAGTTGGTGGTTGTTGGTTTTATCACTTTAGTGGAAAACAAAGATAAATGTAAAATGGTATTTTATTTAATACACGTAATTGGATTAATAAATGATTTTATTAAATGTTAAATTATAAATCATTTTTTGGTATAATGTTATATGTATTCAATTAAATTCATATTGTTAATTATGATTTAATTATATGAACAGATGTCCTTGTGATCTATAAAAATGGTTTATGGCTGTGGTATTTAATCTATCTCTGAAATAATATTGTAGATGAGATTAATGTTTATATGGGGCGTGGTCATGGAGGTAGTTAATAAGCTACACTCATTGATAATATATTAATTAAATATGGTTGGATTAAATTGTTTTAATTAATTGTTTAGATTTAAATTAATTTAGTCAGAATGTGGAGGTGTACAATTTAATTGAGATGCATGTTAATTTCTTTTGATGTAAATTAAATGCATACTACTTAGAATTGTTACATTTTGCTCAATTAAATGCAAAGAAATAATTATATGATTTATATCATACTATGTATGGATTTATTTGATGTGACATTATAACTGTAGCATCATTTATGGATTGTATGCATTATATGCACCAGTATGGGATAGTGGTATATTAGGAACGGATTAACTAAAAACGTTAAGTCCTACCTATTCATGTATAAGGGAATAGATTAACTAAAATGTTAAGTCCTGCTTGTATTTATGTCAGGTCAACTGAATCAGTTGGATGACATATCAGATTTATTTTATGTTTGGATAGGACGGATTATATATATATATATATATATATATATATATAGTTATATGCCATGATATGAGCTTAAGTTTCGGGATCATGGTTATGGTGCATATCTTGATAGGGTTGTGTAGCTAGATATAGTGTAGTTGTTTCCCTGGTTGGTCTAGGTACTTATGCCCACTATATGTGTGTTTTGCATGTTGCCTACTATTCAAGTTGAGATAACCCTATTGTCTGGTGAGGTTCCTCTAGTGTGTATCTATATACATACGGACTACTTAGCTATTGCATGAGTTAACTAGGATATATTCATTCCTTAGGTCTCTGTTAGATGTAGTAGAAAGAACTTGTTTGTGGGCCTGACCCACTATTTATTTTTCAGGTATGTGTAGATTTTGATCATGCAGAGAAGAGACCAGTCATCATCATTCTTTCAGTTTTTCTACATAGGATATTACTTTATGTTTCAGTATTTAGATGTAAACAGTTGTTACTATCGATTCAGTTTGGGAATTTTCTAGGGATCCACACAGTATGGATTCCCGAGTTGTATTTTGGAGAATTGGATGTATCAAAAGATTTATTATTTAATGAAAATATATTGTAAGGATTTTAAATATTGGATTATCATTTTAGTTTTCTTTTCAGCATTTTACCTATTCCTGTTTATCCTTTTGTATTCTGTGTTCGTTTATTGCCGATTTGTTTTGATATCTCCAGGTATTCGGGTGTGGGCCTAGCCAACCCGTATTCGAAAATCCGGGGATATCACAGTTGGTATCAGAGCACTCCAGGTTCAAGTGTCCTTAGGAGTGTCTTTTGTTATATGACTTCCGCATTGCGTCTATTAAAACTTAGAGCCCATATTAGGATTCGTTGTACTCTATTTATGGTTCGTTAGGAGGAGTTGATGTCAATTATTTTCTGTAGTCACAGAATGGTTGGCATTATGAAGAGGATAGGGTCCAAGGCAAAAGCGATAAAAACCCAAAAGAAGTAAAGGAGTACGTATCGATTTCTTTACCAGAAGGCAAAATTAAGGATCGAAGGTTTAGTTCCGATTGGCGCTACATTAAAGTATAAAGCCAAAGAAGGATTTAAGTGTGTATGATAGGTCACCGCATATCGGAACCAATACGACTCCAGTTGTTCTCAAAAAGACGAAAAGTGAGGAGGAGATTCTCCTTAGTACCTTACGTGTAAATTTGTATGATATATATATTACTTTATTTGGTATTCAGGATTTGGGTATATGATTTAGTTAGGGACACAAGTATGTGATCAGCTAACTACTATTTTTACACCACGGAGTAATAGCGCTA